GTTTCTTCTGCTCATCAAGGCTGCATTTATTTGATCAAAATTACAGTAAAAACAGTGAAATATTATTATAATGTAAAACAGCTGTTTTCTACGTGAATATCTGTTCAACTGTAATTTATTCCTGTGATGCGCAGCTGTATTTTCAGCATCATTACTCCAGTCTTCAGTGTCACATGATCTTCAGAAATCAGTATAATATGCTGATTTGCTGCTCAAGAAACATTTCTGATTATTATCAATGTTGAAAACAGTTGCTGCACAATATTTTAGTGAATCGAATGTTCAAAAGAACAGCATTTATTTGAAATAGAAATAGAATGCAACTCAACAATCAACAATTGAATGCATCCTTGATGAATAAAAGAATTTATTTTTTGTTTTAAAAAAATCAATGTACTTTATACTATATAATTTACTCCAAATAAAACCTATGTTTACTTTAATTTTGCAATGGCCCCTTAGAGACTCCTGTTTCCTGGATCCGGTCACTCCTGTGGCTTAAAGTGCGTTTTGTGTGAGTGTGTGACTGTGTGTGTGACTGTGTGTGTGTGACTGTGTGTGAGAGTGTGTGTGAGAGAGTGTGTGACTGTCTGTGTGTGACTGTCTGTGTGTGTGTGTGTGTGACTGTGAGAGTGTGTGTGTGACTGTGTGAGAGAGTGTGTGACTGTGTGAGAGAGTGTGTGACTGTGTGTGTGACTGTGTGTGTGTGTGACTGTGTCTGTGTCTGTGTGACTGTGTCTGTGTCTGTGTGACTGTGTCTGTGTCTGTGTGACTGTGTCTGTGTCTGTGTGACTGTGTCTGTGTCTGTGTGACTGTGTCTGTGTCTGTGTGACTGTGTCTGTGTCTGTGTGACTGTGTCTGTGTCTGTGTGACTGTGTCTGTGTCTGTGTGACTGTGTCTGTGTCTGTGTGACTGTGTCTGTGTCTGTGTGACTGTGTCTGTGTCTGTGTGACTGTGTCTGTGTCTGTGTGACTGTGTCTGTGTCTGTGTGACTGTGTCTGTGTCTGTGTGACTGTGTCTGTGTCTGTGTGACTGTGTCTGTGTCTGTGTGACTGTGTCTGTGTCTGTGTGACTGTGTCTGTGTCTGTGTGACTGTGTCTGTGTCTGTGTGACTGTGTCTGTGTCTGTGTGACTGTGTCTGTGTCTGTGTGACTGTGTCTGTGTCTGTGTGACTGTGTCTGTGTCTGTGTGACTGTGTCTGTGTCTGTGTGACTGTGTCTGTGTCTGTGTGACTGTGTCTGTGTCTGTGTGACTGTGTCTGTGTCTGTGTGACTGTGTCTGTGTCTGTGTGACTGTGTCTGTGTCTGTGTGACTGTGTCTGTGTCTGTGTGACTGTGTCTGTGTCTGTGTGACTGTGTCTGTGTCTGTGTGACTGTGTCTGTGTCTGTGTGACTGTGTCTGTGTCTGTGTGACTGTGTCTGTGTCTGTGTGACTGTGTCTGTGTCTGTGTGACTGTGTCTGTGTCTGTGTGACTGTGTCTGTGTCTGTGTGACTGTGTCTGTGTCTGTGTGACTGTGTCTGTGTCTGTGTGACTGTGTCTGTGTCTGTGTGACTGTGTCTGTGTCTGTGTGACTGTGTCTGTGTCTGTGTGACTGTGTCTGTGTCTGTGTGACTGTGTCTGTGTCTGTGTGACTGTGTCTGTGTCTGTGTGACTGTGTCTGTGTCTGTGTGACTGTGTCTGTGTCTGTGTGACTGTGTCTGTGTCTGTGTGACTGTGTCTGTGTCTGTGTGACTGTGTCTGTGTCTGTGTGACTGTGTCTGTGTCTGTGTGACTGTGTCTGTGTCTGTGTGACTGTGTCTGTGTCTGTGTGACTGTGTCTGTGTCTGTGTGACTGTGTCTGTGTCTGTGTGACTGTGTCTGTGTCTGTGTGACTGTGTCTGTGTGACTGTGTCTGTGTGTGTGTGTGTGTGAGTCTGATATCTCTGCGTGTATCCTCAGGTGTATCAGCCCATGCTGATGGAGTACTTCACGTACGAGGAGCTGAAGGCCATCAAGCAGCAGGTGATGCTGCAGCACTGCAGTAATCTCTCGTGGAGCTCCGCCGCAGACCTGCTGAAGGACCTGAACCTCTGGAGCCACGCCGAGGAGCTGCACAAAGCCTTCAAATACTCCGACCACGAGAAGACCGAGGACGGTGAGATCGCATTCACAGCACCACCTCTAGGGCTGCACGATTCACTGTCTAAAGATGAAGAAATTAAGACCGCCTTAAATATTAGTACTGTAGTTTTACAGTTCTACTGTAAGTTATTATTATTGTTGTTGTTATTATATTTTTCTAAAGACTTAATTATTTATAGTAATATTTAGTAATTTTGTTGAATATTTCTATTCAGTAATAACAACAACAACAATAATAATTATTATTATTGTTATTATAATACTATCAGTATGGCTATTATGTTATAGTTATATTGATATATGATAAAAACATTTTGGGCCATTTTAAGCTCGACAAACAAGCACAGCAAACTTTATTTATTTTCATTTGTTTATTTATTCGTTTAAAATAATTTATTGAAATGTATATTATATTTATATAATATGTAATATTATTTTTTAATTTAGTTATTTAATTTGATGCATTTATTTTTTATTTATTTTTCACTTGAATTATATTTAAAGTTTTCAAATAAATGCATGTTTCCAAAAGCAATGACTAAAGTGCCCCTATTATGCCATTATGAATATTGCCTTTCATGCAGTGTGTAATGTAGATGTGTGTGAATGTAAACGATCTGCGAAGTTGTGAAGTCTTTAAAAAAAAAAATGTATAATTTTTTTTTTTCCACTTTTTTTTACTTTAATTCCACTTTCTTTACTTGAATTATATTCAAGGTTCAAGGAAATCCACTGTTAAAAAAGACAAGTTAAAAAAAAGTTTCATAGATGCATGATGCTTTCAAAGTCTGTGAGTATATATTAACTATATTCAATTATAAATATTCTACATTAAAAATGTTACTTTCATATAGTTATATGAAATTATTGAATTATATTAAGTTAAGGAAGCCCTTTAACAATGAGAATAAAGATCTATTCTATTCCCACTGTTAAAAAGACAAGATAAAAAAAAAAAAAAGCTCAATAGATGCATGATGATTTCAAAGTCAGTGAGTAATTAAATTATAAATACAAGGCTACACGTCACAGTGTATTTTATTTTATTTAGACTCCAAAGCAATATTAGGAACCTTAAAAATGGCATAATAGGGGCATTTTAAAATCATGAAATCATGATTTCAGTATTGACAAGAATAATCATAATTATGATTTTTGCCATAATTGAGCAGCTCTAGCACAGATGTCCTGTTTACAATAAAATCATAAACATAATAATAATAATAAAAATAAAAATATAAAAAAAAGATTTCATGCCACTTTGTCACCCTTTCTGAGTTTAAAAAGGTTCTTTCTTTTTGATGAAATATTTTTTTAAAAAAAGGTATTTTTACCATTATAATAATATAATTATTTTGTTTAATTGATTTTTATAAATGCATCTGAAATTGTAATTGCATTTTTTTTTTAAATTACAATTAAATTTTTCCCCAAATCGTGCTGTCCCAATATCTACCATGCACAGTGTACAATGTGACATACTTCTGCGTGAATGTTTAGTTGAAAATAATGTGGGACGGATTAGATATTTTGAATGTTTTTAGGCTGTGATCTTATTGATTCCGAGTTGAATCTCCTCTGCTTCAGCGGAGGAGCAGCTGAGTACATTCATATAATTATATGAAATTATTGAATTAAGTTAAGGAAACCCTTTAACAATGAGAATAAAGATCTATTCTATTCCCATTGTTAAAAAGACAAGTAAAAAAAAAATCTCAATAGATGCATGATGATTTCAAAGTGAGAGAGTAATTATATTAAATTATAAATATTACAGAATAAAAATATATTATATTCATATAATTATTTGAAATTAAATTTATTTTTACTATTATATTTAATTATATTTCTTACATTTTTAAAAGGATTTTATATAGTTGTTGTTATTTTTTAAGAACTTTAATTGCATATTCTATTATTATGTTTTGTATGATTTATTATTTTTAGTATTCATTGTTTATTCTATTATTTTATTATTATTATTATTATTATTTTCCATGAATGTAGCATTAGATGATACAGCGGTAAAAATGTTTGTGATAAATAATTGTGATCTTAGTATTGATCAAAATTATTGTGATTATGATTTTGGCCATAATCAAGCTGCTCTACCACAGATGGATCGAGCACAATAGGACCAGTAACTTAATAAGAAAAAATAAATAAACCATAAATAGGGTCCATTTTAATTTAGTCACTTTGTCGCCCTCTTGTGACCGCACTTGTTGAGATCTGTGGAGTCATTTTTTAGAGTAAGGACATTTTTACCTTTTGATAAAAAATATTTTTCTAATTCCGTAATATGCACCAATAAATTGAGCATTAAAACAAATTTAAAATTATTTTCATAATTCTAAAACTTTAAATGAATAAAAACAGTAGTGTACTACATTAGTGATTTTTTTTTAAATAATTAAAGACAAAATTTATAATAGTTATTTTCATAATTAATTCTAAAATTTTAAATGAATAAAAACAGTAGTGTACTACATTAGTGATTTTTTTTATAATTAATTTAAATATTTTATAATATAATTATTTTCATAATTCTAAAACTTTAAATGAATAAAAACAGCAGTGTACTACATTAGTGATTTTTTTTATAATAAATTTTTTAAATATTTTATAATATAATTATTTTCATAATTCTAAAACTTTAAATGAATAAAAACAGCAGTGTACTACATTAGTGATTTTTTTTATAATTTATTTTTTAAATTCATTATACTACTTCAATTAAAAACAGAAGTAAACTGCATAAGTGAATTATTTAAGATATTTTTTTCAAATTTTTTTTTTTATTTATTAAAAAAGTTTAATTAAAACTGCATTAATGTCATGAGTTATTTTAAATTTTTAATGCAGTTTATATTACATTTGATCATTTTAATGTAGTTTAATAGAAAAGATAATATAAAAATAGTGCTGAGCAGTCTGTGAGAATATTAACTATATTCAATTATAAATATTCTAAATTAAAAATATTACATTCATATAATTATATGAAATTATTGAATTAAGTTAAGGAAACCCTTTAACAATGAGAATAAAGATCTATTCTATTCCCATTGTTAAAAAGACAAGTAAAAAAAAAATCTCAATAGATGCATGATGATTTCAAAGTGAGAGAGTAATTATATTAAATTATAAATATTACAGAATAAAAATATATTATATTCATATAATTATTTGAAATTAAATTTATTTTTACTATTATATTTAATTATATTTCTTACATTTTTAAAAGGATTTTATATAGTTGTTGTTATTTTTTAAGAACTTTAATTGCATATTCTATTATTATGTTTTGTATGATTTATTATTTTTAGTATTCATTGTTTATTCTATTATTTTATTATTATTATTATTATTATTTTCCATGAATGTAGCATTAGATGATACAGCGGTAAAAATGTTTGTGATAAATAATTGTGATCTTAGTATTGATCAAAATTATTGTGATTATGATTTTGGCCATAATCAAGCTGCTCTACCACAGATGGATCGAGCACAATAGGACCAGTAACTTAATAAGAAAAAATAAATAAACCATAAATAGGGTCCATTTTAATTTAGTCACTTTGTCGCCCTCTTGTGACCGCACTTGTTGAGATCTGTGGAGTCATTTTTTAGAGTAAGGACATTTTTACCTTTTGATAAAAAATATTTTTCTAATTCCGTAATATGCACCAATAAATTGAGCATTAAAACAAATTTAAAATTATTTTCATAATTCTAAAACTTTAAATGAGTAGAAACAGTAGTGTACTACATTAGTGATTTTTTTAAAATAATTAAAGACAAAATTTATAATAGTTATTTTCATAATTAATTCTAAAATTTTAAATGAATAAAAACAGTAGTGTACTACATTAGTGATTTTTTTTTAAATAATTAAAGACAAAATTTATAATAGTTATTTTCATAATTAATTCTAAAATTTTAAATGAATAAAAACAGTAGTGTACTACATTAGTGATTTTTTTTATAATTAATTTAATTATTTTATCATAATTAATTCTAAAACTTTAAATGAATAAAAACAGCAGTGTACTACATTAGTGATTTTTTTTATAATAAATTTTTTAAATATTTTATAATATAATTATTTTCATAATTAATTCTAAAACTTTAAATGAATAAAAACAGCAGTGTACTACATTAGTGATTTTTTTTATAATAAATTTTTTAAATATTTTATAATATAATTATTTTCATAATTAATTCTAAAACTTTAAATGAATAAAAACAGCAGTGTACTACATTAGTGATTTTTTTTATAATAAATTTTTTAAATATTTTATAATATAATTATTTTCATAATTAATTCTAAAACTTTAAATGAATAAAAACAGCAGTGTACTACATTAGTGATTTTTTTTATAATAAATTTTTTAAATATTTTATAATATAATTATTTTCATAATTAATTCTAAAACTTTAAATGAATAAAAACAGCAGTGTACTACATTAGTGATTTTTTTTATAATAAATTTTTTAAATATTTTATAATATAATTATTTTCATAATTAATTCTAAAACTTTAAATGAATAAAAACAGCAGTGTACTACATTAGTGATTTTTTTTATAATAAATTTTTTAAATATTTTATAATATAATTATTTTCATAATTAATTCTAAAACTTTAAATGAATAAAAACAGCAGTGTACTACATTAGTGATTTTTTTTATAATAAATTTTTTAAATATTTTATAATATAATTATTTTCATAATTAATTCTAAAACTTTAAATGAATAAAAACAGCAGTGTACTACATTAGTGATTTTTTTTATAATAAATTTTTTAAATATTTTATAATATAATTATTTTCATAATTAATTCTAAAACTTTAAATGAATAAAAACAGCAGTGTACTACATTAGTGATTTTTTTTATAATAAATTTTTTAAATATTTTATAATATAATTATTTTCATAATTAATTCTAAAACTTTAAATGAATAAAAACAGCAGTGTACTACATTAGTGATTTTTTTTATAATAAATTTTTTAAATATTTTATAATATAATTATTTTCATAATTAATTCTAAAACTTTAAATGAATAAAAACAGCAGTGTACTACATTAGTGATTTTTTTTATAATAAATTTTTTAAATATTTTATAATATAATTATTTTCATAATTAATTCTAAAACTTTAAATGAATAAAAACAGCAGTGTACTACATTAGTGATTTTTTTTATAATAAATTTTTTAAATATTTTATAATATAATTATTTTCATAATTAATTCTAAAACTTTAAATGAATAAAAACAGCAGTGTACTACATTAGTGATTTTTTTTATAATAAATTTTTTAAATATTTTATAATATAATTATTTTCATAATTAATTCTAAAACTTTAAATGAATAAAAACAGCAGTGTACTACATTAGTGATTTTTTTTATAATAAATTTTTTAAATATTTTATAATATAATTATTTTCATAATTAATTCTAAAACTTTAAATGAATAAAAACAGCAGTGTACTACATTAGTGATTTTTTTTATAATAAATTTTTTAAATATTTTATAATATAATTATTTTCATAATTAATTCTAAAACTTTAAATGAATAAAAACAGCAGTGTACTACATTAGTGATTTTTTTTATAATAAATTTTTTAAATATTTTATAATATAATTATTTTCATAATTAATTCTAAAACTTTAAATGAATAAAAACAGCAGTGTACTACATTAGTGATTTTTTTTATAATAAATTTTTTAAATATTTTATAATATAATTATTTTCATAATTAATTCTAAAACTTTAAATGAATAAAAACAGCAGTGTACTACATTAGTGATTTTTTTTATAATAAATTTTTTAAATATTTTATAATATAATTATTTTCATAATTAATTCTAAAACTTTAAATGAATAAAAACAGCAGTGTACTACATTAGTGATTTTTTTTATAATAAATTTTTTAAATATTTTATAATATAATTATTTTCATAATTAATTCTAAAACTTTAAATGAATAAAAACAGCAGTGTACTACATTAGTGATTTTTTTTATAATAAATTTTTTAAATATTTTATAATATAATTATTTTCATAATTAATTCTAAAACTTTAAATGAATAAAAACAGCAGTGTACTACATTAGTGATTTTTTTTATAATAAATTTTTTAAATATTTTATAATATAATTATTTTCATAATTAATTCTAAAACTTTAAATGAATAAAAACAGCAGTGTACTACATTAGTGATTTTTTTTATAATAAATTTTTTAAATATTTTATAATATAATTATTTTCATAATTAATTCTAAAACTTTAAATGAATAAAAACAGTAGTGTACTACATTAGTGATTTTTTTTTTTAATTAAAAAAATATATTTTATAATAGAATTATTTTCATAATTCTAAAACTTTAAATGAATAAAAACAGCAGTGTACTACATTAGTGATTTTTTTTATAATTTATTTTTTAAATTCATTATACTACTTCAATTAAAAACAGAAGTAAACTGCATAAGTGAATTATTTAAGATATTTTTTTCAAATTTTTTTTTTTATTTATTAAAAAAGTTTAATTAAAACTGCATTAATGTCATGAGTTATTTTAAATTTTTAATGCAGTTTATATTACATTTGATCATTTTAATGTAGTTTAATAGAAAAGATAATATAAAAATAGTGTTGAGCACATTGCATTGTGGGATACAGTATGCCTCAGTATTGTTGTTAATTGTGTCTGTGTGTGTCTGTGTGTGTGTGTGTGTCTGTGTGTGTGTGTGTAGGTGATTATTACTGTGGTCCTCCGGGCGAGTCGGACCAGGAGCCGGATGAGGATTGGGTGAAGAGTCTGCAGGACGAGGGACGAGCCTATCAGGACTGGGATGAGGACGCAGACGTGGATGAATCAGGTGAGTCTCGCCTCGCCGCTCAGAGCTGCTCTTCCCATGATCCTCCGGGCCGCAGCTCAGCCGTGTGTTACTCTGTGTGTTCAGAGGAGGCGTCTGAGGAGTCTCCAGCCATAAGTGCGGTTCAGAGAGAGAAGAGACTGCTCAATGGGATGATCCAGAACCTGCTGCCCGCCGTCGGTCCGTCTGTGCGCTCGCTCAGTCTGGCCTACAGCTCAGCCGTCTCCAGCAAGATGGTGCGTACATGTGCTGTCAAATATAACCTGATTATGAAAGATCCGTCCGCTGAAATTACACATGACCAAACTGTGTGCAGAAAAACCATTTAAGAGTTACATGTGTGTTTACTAAAAGGTGAAGAGCGACAGTGTTTGGTTTTTTTTATTTTTTGTAAGATAATTTGCTAATGTTTGTAAAAGAATAAATGTTTTTTACTTTTTTTTTGTTACTTTTTTAAAAATAATTATTCAATTAAATTATTAAGTTTTTTTTAAAAATAGGTTTCATTTGGGAATTACAATCTAACGTAATTATCTTATATTATGATAATTATATTTTCTAATTATTAAATTTAAATTTAATTTATAGTTGTTTTTTTAGTTAAAAAAAAATTATTTGGGAACTATAATTTACCTTAAGCATATTTTGCTGGTCTGTCCTGCTTTTAGTGTTATTCAGTGTTTTTATGATATTTTATGACATTTAATTAAATGTTTTTAAAAAGTTTTCTTCTGGGAAGTAAAATCTAATCTAATAATGAATATATTATATTTTATATTATACTATATTATTTATATATGTAGTTATATTTTTGTAAGATAACCTTGGCCATTAAGCATATTTTGCTGGTCTGTCCTGCTTTTAGTGTTATTATTATTATTTTTGTTATTATAACATTTAATTTATTAACATTTAATTAAATAGTAGTTATAATAGTTAGTTATTATATTTTACATTATACTATATTATTTATATTATATTATTATATTAAATGTCTGTGAAATACAGTTTTTATATAATATTTCTGAAAGAAATTTCTGGTTATTTCTGGTCTGTCCTGCTTTTTGCTATTATTATTATTATATGTTTTTTTAATTAATACAATTAATTAATAGGTGTTTTTAAAAAGGTTTTCTCTTGGGACATATAATAAAATATGTATTTATATATGTTAATATTATGCTATAATATTATTATATTATATTTCTGTAAAATATCGATATTATATCATAGATATATCAGTCCTGCTGTTATAAATTTTTTATTATTATTAAATGTAATTAATAGTTGCTTTTAAAGTTAATAAAAAAAAATTATATAAACTTTTATATTATTTTATTTTAAAAATTATATTTGTATTAAATGT